ATTTTTATTCATTTTATAAAACATACCCCATTATATGGGGCAAAATGGGACAAAATGAGCTTTTTAAGTTTTTAATTTTTACTAAGTGAAAAATTGTTTTATTGTTATTAGATGATAGTAGTATTATATTAGATAACATATAAGATCATATGACTCCATTTTTAGAAAAATATCATGTGAAATTAACATTTTATTCTTACTAAAACCTTATTGTCACCATTTTGCCCCACGTTCCCCTAGCACACAATCGAATTAAAACAGACCTCTAATATTTTATTTCCGATTCTATAATACGTTAATTTTGAGAATCAATCGTTTGATTTAAGTTTAATCTTATAATCATTTCTTGCCACTTTGAAAAATGAAGAATATGTGTTTTTGATGTTTCATGTATTTTTAAATGACCCGACAAATTTCTCCAATCATTATAACCGAATTCAGAGACCACTCCTGAATCAGATAAGTTGTAATTAAACATTCTATAGCAGAAACAGAACACAGTATCATTTTTTTTTTTAATAAACCAACCAGGACCTTTCTAATTGTTCTCCATTATGCAAAATACGTTGATAATATGCACTAGAAAATTTCCTATTCAATTGGTTTTTCGGAAAATCAAAATTTTTTATTTGCACGGGTCCTTTTTTTTTATGAATAATATTCGAATGGAATCGGTTAATTTTAGTGGCCAATCGCTTGGGTCATCTGATATTATTTTAGAATGTTCAACACTATTTGTTTCCATAACATCCTTATCCGAAATATTGTCAATTTCTTCATAATCAAATGAATCAGAATCAATAGAATCTCTATCAGAATTAGAAAATAAATCGACTTCTATCTTGTGCAAAGAGTTATCAGATATACCGTGAGAAGTGGACGGTAAAAAGTTCAAATTGCAATTTGATTGTGTGTCCTGACTCGAAGTTATAGTTAATCCAGAAGTAGTTGTAATTTGTGAACTATCATTATTAAGTTGTTGAATGCCGTCCATAGATTGTTTCAATAAAAATTTAGTAAAACTCCCTGCTTGTTTGTTGATAAAGTTTTTTTTATTTTCTCGAATTTTTTTTATATTCAGCACCGGAAAGTCGTTTTCGTGACAACATGATCAATGTGAAATTGTGTTATGTTATAAGTTTATAACAATATTGAATTATTTAATAAAAAAAAATATAGTAGTATACAAGTTTAAGAAAACAAAAAACATTTTCAACACGTCTAGGGTCCAGCAACTTATACAAGAGTTATTAATTTTAAATATATATATATATAATTTACGAAGTATAAATAGAATAAAATATATCTTAGCTTTTTAAAAATATAATAATATAATTACCGATTATTTTTTGTTTTTGACGTGTCGTCATAGAGCGTAGACCATAGGGCTATCATAGATCGTAGTTACTTCACCGACGGCCGATGGTTGGAAAATTAAATATGGTATTATTAAAATAGAAGACTACGATTATATTTGGTAAGTGCGTAACATAAAAATAAATATATTAATAGTGATCGCTTGAAAAATTGAGCGCTCGATTCGACTTAAAATTTTTGCGTACTAAACACAGTACAACGCTTTCGACGTCAGGAGGTATGACAATCCGCCGCAGGCGGATTGCCCTGTCAGGTATCGATATTCGCTGGACGATGACTGATACCTAGACACTCAATTGCCGTTTTCGTAACAAGCTACGGGACGAGGTTCTTCCACATTAGATAGGCAGGTTCGAAACTCGTTCCGGCGAAATCCGGGCTGTACGATAACTGACCACGTATTCGGATTTTTTGCATTTTTTTTTTTAATTTTTATATTTTGTGTTAATTAATTGTAATAATCTGTTATCAAAAAAATGATGAAATATATATAGTTTTTTGATCTTCGACTCACTATTTATCACGATTCGCTAACGTTTGACATGTATTTTCATTAACACGTTTAAAATCTTCACTTTGCGCTCACATCGCCTACCTGAGAGGTTTAAACGCGTTTAAATGGATTTTCAATGGCGATCGCTTGATTCGACTTAAACTTTTTGCGTACTAAACAGCACAACGCCTTCGACGTCAGGAGGTATGACAATCCGCCGCAGGCAGATTGCCCTGTCAGGAATCGATATTCACTGGACGATGACTGATAACTAGACACTTAATTACCTTTTCGGAATGTGAATTTAATGAAATAACCCACCACTAAACGTTCGAATTGGACTTTTATATACTTTTATTATATTATAAGATTATTATTTACGCGTTTAAAACGACACCGCCAAAGTGTAGAACCACCAAATCAGAGGTACCAACGTCTCAAACATCGTTATCACTGATTTCGCCTACTAGACTTTTCTAACTGCGGTATTCTAAAGTCCTGTTTCCGACCTAGGAAATTCACTTCAAACGATTTTCAGCTACCTAGGGTATTCACATACAGCGAGTTTTACCGACCTAAGGTATTCACTTACAGCGAGTTTCACCGGTGCTAGTCAGTAAATAAAATATATTTATGGAAATAATAATGTTCTATTTTTATCGAAAACCATTTACAGTCAATATGACCGTATGGACTACAATTTAAATATATGATATATCTACATACATTCACTTAAACTGTACACGTTATAGTGTTTGACGTGCGTATATCGGTATGCAGTATACACTATACTAATTTATTATACATTGTGATTATTCGCTATCATAACCAGTGGCGTGTCATACATGTGTGCGATGTGTACAAATGCCACGGGACCTCGGCTTTGGGGGGGCCCATTATTGTTTAACGTAGCACAAAAAAAAAAATTAAATTAAATAAATACAGTTATTTACGAAAAAATAAAAAAATAGTTTTCATTTTCAAATGGTTCTCATTTTCTTAATCTGATATCAGTATATTATTGTTATAAAAAATAGATATTGTATTTCCGTGATGTACTGTACTTCTGTGACGGCGACTAAACGTTATTTATAGCAATCTGTTTCCCGTGGTTTTTTGTTATCGCCTTGTCGCTTATAGGCCGTCGTATTATAGTCTTTATCTTCATATTTCATATGTGCATATACAGACGTCTATGACATAGATTTACACGATTAACACGTTGGCGACGAGCGCCGTTTTTGCTGTTCTGTTCATAGCGATAATATATTATCGCTATTCCTCTCGTTAAAGCATTACGTGATTGTATTATTTCAGGATACTTATTACTTTATAGTCTCATGTGTCGTCGTTTAGAGTCTATTCAAAATAATTTACAAAATACTCCATAAAATATTAACTTTATTAATTTTAATTATTATTATAATGGCATCAAAATCTGCTAGTGAAAAGGCCGAAACGGAAAATTAAACAAAAGAAGACCTGTTATGGATGAAAATTGATATATATTTAAAACAAACCACGAAGAAACAGAAAAAGAGCAAGATATTGATAACTCAGGTATATTATTAAATACGATTAATACTGATAGTAATTCTGCCTTAGAGCCAACTGAATATCTAGTATTGATACTAATAATACTAAAAATGTTGAACCTAATATTTTTATAGTTTAATCTGTGAACATTTTCCTACCGACAAAATTAATTTTAAAGAACCACTCAGCCACCAAGAAAAACGTTATCATTTCTCAAGGGCCTTGTCAGCCTAAGGCTCATTTCCAACTGACAGTGATAATTCTAGATAATTTTCAGAAAAATTTTATTATTTTACAAATCAGGTTTAAATAAAATATATTGTCAATGCTGTTGGTTGTTTTCTACTCAAGATAGAATTAGTTCATCATGGGTTACGGGAAATAATGATTGGAGACATCTTACTCAAAATATTAAACGCCATGATAATTTTAATAAAAACGGAAAGTACCTTGTGGGATTTATATATCTATAACTATAATATTATTTAGAATAAAAAAATAAAGGGGGCCTTTTTTTAGTTTTGCACACGGGCCCATCTTTGGGATAAACCGCCACTGAATCATAGGTACTTATCATGAAACACAAATTTATATTAATTTATAAATAATTACGTGTTTGGACTATAAAGTGCAAAAAATCGCAAAATTACAAGATATAAACAATGCACGTATTTATTTATTGACTAAAATAAAATCAAAAATTGTAATTATCTATGGATAAATCAAAATATTTTGAAAATTTAAAGTTAAAACATGTATAGAAATTTAAAATAGGTACTATAAACATTTGCTGAACATTTTAAGATTTTACGGTTATTTATTTTTGAATTATGATGAAATATAGAAATACATTTTGACGAAAATTGGTTTGGCTAAAAAGTTATAGTTTTTCCTTCGTTTTATTTATTTATTTTTTTTTTTGTCTTTCTCATATAAGTATTAAGAAAAATCGAGTTATTAAAATACCTATTTTACTCTTGACTAAATCCAATTTGCTACCGAAAACCTTCTATAGAATTAAAAATCAAAGCATTTTTACTGCCACAATATGTGATAATATAATGACAAATACATTGTGCACTTAAGTTTGGATAATGCACGACGAAGATAAACATTCAACACGTATCTACAGGTGTGTCATTATAGATCTATCGTCAATGATGCTTTCTTTGAAATATTTTTACGGTATTTGATATCATGTGGTTTATTATCCTGAAGTATTTCATACGAATAAATTAAAATAAGTAAATATTCTTTGTATATAATACGCAGTAATCAAACGGTTTATAATTGACTGTAATCTAATCGTAAATTCGGTTGTTTATTTGCAAGTACCTACTTGGATAGTGACATCGTGGAACTGGATATAATTAATATAATATTATAATAGGTAATAGTTTATTTTATTTTATTGGTGCATTTTACTGCGTAGTTAAATATTTTATGTTTGAATGTTTGTTATTGATAAATTTAATATTATTTGTTTGGGGTGTCTTACTTTCATTAATAATACCTCAATCCCATTTCGTTTATCACGAATTAAAATAATTTTACTATCTCAGTCACGGTATTCCAAGACCGTAATTTCAGTACTCGGTTTATGATTTATAATTTATATCTGTGGTTTTTATCAAATGACGTTATCAACTTTTAAAACGATTTAGCGCATGCACACAACACAGGTTACAGATCAAATTTCAAAACGTTCCTACTGTTCGAAACAAAAATTTTGTTTGATTAATCTAATTAAATGTGTTATAATAAGTACATACTAGGTTTTTAATTAATTGTTATTTGTACACGTTGTACCTTATTTGCTCTAGACATACAAATAACGATTTATCATTTACGATTATTGTGCGTTTCTGTCGCCGTATTGTTATTGTACCTACGCTACCACTTTTTTTTTCCCGAATGGATTTATTGTTTAACATTTAAAAATTGTTTGCACCAGCGTAGGCGCTTAAAGTACTTCCTACGAGCATATAGCTTGTATTTAACTTACCTGATATATGTTTTCAACTATAGACAAAATACTGATATCTACTGAACATGATAAAAGACCATGTGTCGTTGAATTTCGACACAGTTTTGTTGACGAGTCCAACACAAAAATACAGTTGCAGAAGTTCTTATCGAAGGGTAAAGAATACAAATTATTTTTATTGTCATTATTCATGTAAGTAATTTAATTCAATTGTTTTTTTCCTATAGTGTTGGAGACAGTTATCAAAGTTACAGAAATTAATTTTATACCTGTTGGCTATTGTAGTATTAATATTACTACTTTTGTGGTTCATTGGAACTAGTAATAATTTTGAAGAATTATCTGAGACTAATGCTCTTGAATTACCACAAGCAACTATTTGGCCCCAGAATGTTGTATGTTTGATTATGAAGTTGATGATTTCATTGACCTATATGTTCTTGACTTATCTAACTAATAATAATCTGTTTTAGAAATCAGATTTACAAAGTTATGTAGATGCTGTGAAGTTTAATGAAGTTGAAGATGTCGAACTTCCAGATCAAAAAGAACAAATTGCTGCACCTGTATCTAATGATGCTGCAAGCTTACCGTCTGGCGAAGGTATTCAATTTAAGCCAGCAACTGGTCATAGACAAACTGCAGTTTTAAATGCATTTAAACATGCATGGAAAGGATATTGCAGTTATGCCTGGGGACATGATCATGTCAAACCCATAAGCAGGAAATATCAAGATTGGTTCAATCTAGGATTGACCATTGTTGATTCTTTAGATACACTATGGATAATGAATTTGAAAAAAGGTAGGTTCTGCTAGTACTAGTATTAATTTGATTTAACGGATGTTAACTTGTGTATCACAAATTAGACATCTTTATATATTATATTATTGTGTGTAACAGTAAAATAATGTGCATACAGATTACTAAAACTATTTTATTCTAGTTAATATCTGTGTATATGTATCAAATATATGAAAATATTATTTTTGATGTATTGAGCATAGACATTATTTAAAATCTTAATTTATAAAGAAGGCATAATTATAAAAATTTTAAATTTGCTTAGGTATATATTTTTACCTTTTAATTTTTAGTAAAAAAGCATAAAATGTATCAATTATGTAAAATTATGTTTTTGCTTAATATAATACTAATATTGGATTGTAAATTAGTATAAACACTATTTTCTTAATTTGATAAAATAATGGATTATGTTTTATTTTAGAATTTGATGAAGCTCGTGAATGGGTTAGTACTAGTTTTAACCTTGATCATTATAAAGATGTCAACCTTTTTGAGACTACAATTAGAGTGTTGGGTGGATTTTTAAGTGCTTACCATTTTTCAGAAGATTCATTATTTCTTGATAAAGCTGTGAGTATTAGTTCATTATTATTAAACACTGAATATTTTTATTTTTATTCTATATAATTATTATATTATTATTTTATTTGTTACAGGTAGACATTGGTTCACGACTTATGCCATGCTTTACAAAATCTCCATCGCCAATACCATATTCAGATGTTAATCTAATCTCACATATGGCTCATTCGCCCAAATGGAGCCCAGATTCGAGTACAGCAGAGGTATCTACCATACAATTAGAATTTAGAGATTTATCAAGGTCTACTGGTACAAAAAATTTTGAAGTGAGTAATGCTAACATAGTTAATAGCTTAATCTGATTATGACATATGCAATTAAATTTCAGACTGTTGCATTCAAAGTATCTGAACATATTCACACATTAGACAAACCTAATGGACTTGTACCTATCTATATAAATCCAAATACTGGCAAATTTCATAGAGGGTCTGAGATTAAAATTGGTGCTAGAGGTGATAGTTATTATGAATATCTTTTGAAACAATGGATCCAAACTGGAAAATCAATTGATTTGTAATTATCATTAATTATTAAATTTCAAAAGCATCAGTTAAAAACATGTGTTTATTATAGTTTGAAGGATGATTATTTGGAAGCCATTGATGGTATAATCACACAATTAGTGCGAACATCACCCAAAAGAAATTTAACATATATAGGAGAACTTAAAGCAGGATCACGAGAATTTCATCCAAAGATGGATCATTTAGTATGCTACCTGCCGGGCACACTAGCACTTGGTGTTCATTATGGTATGCCTTCTAGTCATATGAGATTGGCTGAAAAACTGATGGAAACATGCTATCGCATGTATGCCGATCAACCAACATTTTTATCCCCAGAAATAGTATATTTTGGTACAAATGTAAGGTTGAATTAATATTAAAATATCTAGCATTTTCTAATTTTGCTTATTTTTTTTCTACAGCTTAATGTCAATCAAGACATGTATGTTAATATAAATGATGCACACAGTTTATTACGGCCTGAATTTGTTGAAAGTCTTTGGTACATGTATCAAATATCAGGCAATTCAACATATCAGGATTGGGGCTGGTCAATATTTCAAGCATTTGAACGACACACTAAAGTAGCTGGTGGTTTTACATCCATTGGCAATGTGTTAGATCCAGAAGATACACGTCCTCAAGACATGACTGAATCATTCTTTTTTGCAGAAACCCTTAAGTATCTATATTTGTTAATGTCAGATGATCGGCACATGTTATCTATTGATAAGTATGTAGTTAATAGTGAAGGGCATCCATTGCCAATTAAAAACCGGTGATAAATAATTGATTTGATTATTTTTAGTTTTACTGTTGAGTTAATGCATGGAATTTTATTTGTCTTATTTGGCTGTGAATTTTTGTTTTATCGGTTTTGTATACTCGTCCACAATTACCACAAAATATTTTTACGGACTTTTAATACTAACTAAAATTTTTAAATTTAAATATTATGATATTTAATCAATAATTATAACATTTTTATTTATTTTTGGTTACTACTATGAAATTTTAAATTTATCAATGTTTATAACTTTCTTTATCGCTTATGACAACATTTTAGTGAAAGTAATATGTAACACTCAAAATTTAAAACTATGGATGGAAATTTTAATATAAGTTATGCCGTTATTAAATTGCTTTAATTAGATTAGTAAATTTACTTAATGTACATAAGCAGGGTTCGGGACTTAAAGCACTTATAATTGTTAAAATAAGTGTTTGAATAAGCATTCAAATAAGTATTTAAAAATATTAAAATATGTAAAAATACAGTCCAATAAAAACAATAAACACAATTTTTTCCTGTGAAATCACTTAATTTTTAATATTTAAAACTTAAAATATTTTTCTCTTTCTGTGTTTACAAATATATTAATTTAAGTAATACTTATAGATTTTCTGAAAAATTAATTTAAATTTTTATGGGAATAAACGAAGAAAATTTAATTGAATATATCATTAGATAGCTTGTTTAATGGAATGTTTGCAGATACTATAGTTTAATATGACTGATTAATCCATATTGAAATCTGATTTAGTTGAATTTTGATTTGCTAAAGTTTATTGGACTTCTCTGTGCTTGTTCATTTTTACATATAACATTATTTTGGTGTTAATCAGTTTTTGTGATATCTTATGCTTTTTTTTTAAATTTAATTTTAACCTTACACATTTTACAGTGCAAAACATATCTATCTGTAGAAAACTTATCTGACTCATATTCAGATATGTATCTATATGACTGCACTAGTAGATAACTTATCTTGTTCTATCGTAAAAAATAAATAAATAAATGAGACACAAATGATGATGAAAACAACATGATTTATGAATGTATGACAAACAAACATCGTGAACAAAAATCGACTGTGATTAAATTTTATGTTAATCACATTATGACAGTCTAATAATATTGTTAATGTTTATAATATTTTAATCATAATATAAATCAGGAATCGGATTATTTATTGTTTTTTCATAATACAATGATATTACAGCGTTTGTAATTTTAAACGTACTATGGCTGCACATATAGCCTGGACTGCAGCTCAACGCGACAATAGACAATTAGTAGATAAGCGAGAGAATATGAGTTCTGGTGTTTATTACTAGGACATGTTGTATAAAAGGAAAAAATTATTTTTAGTCTTAATTTTAATGTTAATACACAAAAAAAATATTAAACAATAACTTAAATTTCTAGATTTTTGTCAGTATGGCCCATATGATAATTAAGCAGAAGTGTGCAAAAAAGTAAAAATTATTAGAAAACAATTTGTTTAAAAAAACCATTGAAATAAGTAAAAAAAAAAGCACTTTCCGATTTCATATTTTGAATCATTGTAATATGACTTGAGTTTCCCCAAAAACTGCTAGATTTTATGTTAATGCAAAAAAATAAGCAAATGCTTAAGTCCTGGACCCTGTACATAAGTGATTAAATTATTGAAATGTTTTATAAATTATACATTTTTAACTATTAAACTGTTAACAATTATATTATTTGATTTGTATACTAATATTTATAGATTTATTTTGATAAATTAGAAAACAAGGAATTCATAACTAAACCATGATTGTCAATTTATGCACCTAAAATTATATTTATAAAAATGTTAGTGGATTTAATACCATATATAATAATGTTTTATGTTTTAACATTGAAAAATGTGATGATGCATCAAAACTTTGGTAGCAAACATGAATATTTACAAGTTTAAATTATAATACTTAAGATCTTTTAGAGTTTCAGTAATATAATTTGAATAAAAAATAATCCTAATTAATGTAGGAAATTAAGAGTTATTTAGATAATTTGTAGCATTATAACTCATCTTTTGTCTTTTCTTAATTTTCCAAGTCTTTGTTGTAGTCATCAAACTTTGTTTCTAATTGCCAACAATGAACCTATTAGCATCTTCTATTGCTTTTTGCAGATAATTTGCTTTGTGTCTTAAATGTTGCCAGATATATCCATTTGGAATTTTTCTAATTGCTACTATAAGATTATATGCATAAGAATTTCTTTATGAAAAGACAATTTTTCAATTAATAAAATTAGTTTTACTTAAGGGTTATTTAGGTTCATTGTAGTACTATATTGATCTTTGTAATGTTTAAGATTTAGTATACCTTTAAATATTATTTTTTTTATTTAATAAAATTGTATACTTTTGCAACATATTAAGAAATATTGAAGTTTATTATTTAGCTGTGATAGGCTAGTAGTGGAGCAATAACATACTCATATCAAATTAAATAAATAATTGAATTAATTAAATACGGTTTGTTTACATTTTGAAAATAGACATTTTTTTTTTTTTTTATTATTTTAATTTTAAAATATGACATGCAAAACAGTATTTAATTAAAGGTCTATTCTGGGTTATTTGTTTCTGACCTCAATGTTTTTTCTTTGCTTTAAAATGTATAAAATTCCATATTAAACATTTGCCTTTACTCAGTCTGTATCATGTTTTGTCAAATATTTGTTTTATGTGTATAGTCATAAATAAATTATTTGAATTCAAGAGAACTAAAAATAAATTTAATGTATATTTTGAGTTATAAACCTCAATTATAACTTATGAAATCTTCAGGGAATGAGAAAAAAATTTGAAGTTTTGAAGGTTTTTGGGTTATTGAGGTTCAAGTTATCATGAATCGACTGTGTTATAATTTTTAAATTAACTTATTATATATTATATATTATTTTTTTAATAATTTTATAATTCTTAATATGCTTAAATAAAATTGTTAACGCACAGTTTATTGTTAGTTGTGTACTTATATTTATTATTGTTTTTTAACCTATGTATATGATGTTTTTAATTTTTTTTTTTTGTAAAAATAACAAAAAGAAACTGTTTAATAATTAATGATGAATGTATAATTTAAATTATAATTGTTAGAACGTAGAAATGTTTTTTTGTTTGAATAGTTTATATCATAGACCTATAAACTTATTAACTAGTTTGGTCTATGGTTTTTATAGCTTATTAATTTTTTTTACATCAAATAAATTTACAAATAATTTGAAAATCATATCATGTTTAAAATAAGTATAATGTAATTATATTATTGTATACATGTAATATATATTTGAAGGAATAATGTTATAAAATTAAATCTATTCTATGGTTGAATTTTAAAACTAAATGATTTTTTTCATTACTTTCAGCCTTTTTGGTTTAAAGTGATGAATTACAACAATCAATAAATATTCTTCAAAACGTCAAAAGAGTCAAGTATACTCAAGTTAAAATGTTTTATCAACAAATAATAAGAATTAGCGGTTCATTCAAATCATATTCATCACTATCCAAATTTCAAGTTCATTCTAACAGTAAGGTGTAGTTGTAGTACTTAATGTAGAATGAAGTTGTTCTGTACACAGATCACCTGACACAATTAGGTACTATAATTATTAGACCGTAAGTCCAGAAACATTAAATTTACAATCAACATAATATGAATTAGAATCGTGTATACCATGACGTAATAGATCAATTTTATCACGGTAAATACATTCTATAATTATTTCTTTTTAAATTAATTATTTTAACATAAATTTAATAATAATATTATAATGTCCAACTAATGATTTCGTAAATACGATCATCATTTCCGTGTTGTCGACATTAATTTCTGTATCTGTGTTTACCTGAAATTTGGTTTCAACGTCATATCCGTCAGATAGCGTTAATCATTTCTCCGCGGGAACGATATTGTTGTAGAAATCAACAATACGATTTAAATGTAGAACACGGTTTTGCGTAGTATTGAATTGAATTTTATTTATTTTCGCGATTCGATTTTTAAATAGATTTCCGGAGAGCAAAGAACGAAACTTTAGGTGTATTCTTTTTACAATTTTCGTTATTCGTTCGGTATCCACCCTACAATAATATTATACTGACATGCGTTACATGAGACATTATGAGACATTCATGTCGAGTCGAATTTAAATCTCTGCAGTTGTCCAATGCCTACACCCGGTTCACATACTTTTGGCATTTTTTCACACGTCATAATTCATATTTTATTATTCTATTATTCTATGATTATTATTTTACTGTATATACTCTGATATACTACGACGTGTGAGACGATTACTTACACGTGTGTCGATACCTACTCGTTATAATATTATTATTATGTCGGTGTCACTATAAATATTTATTTTTATTGAAATTATTATTTATAATCTGATGGAATTAAGACGCGAAAAACGTGTTTATCGGCTAAAAAAATAAAAAATAAAATAAAATAAATTTAATTTGGTAAATCAATCAATTTGATTTTGTTCGAAATGGCGTCAACGCCGTGTAGGTATTTCGTAAAACGGTACTGCTGGTTTTCACCAAACTAGTATGATTTGTTATGCGATAAGATTATTTTTTTCTTTTAATTATATTATATATTTGCGTCGTGTAAGTACGTATTGCGCACGTCGTAAAGGTATAAAGGTATTAAATAAATATATAAATACGCGCAACATGCGGCCTTATAATATATCATTACTGTTTATTTTAAACGTTTTTTTTTTTTTTTTTTAATTCTATTTAAATTAAACATTCCGTGTGCACAATTCCAACAACATTGTATAGAATTTATAACAGCTAAAAACCTACCTATAGACGTTGTTTATGTTATATATTTTTTATAATGTAGGTACTCGTATTTGTATGTATTTTAAAATTTTCTTAACCACCAACTGAGTTGATTGATATTATATTGATAATTGTGATATTTAGATCATATTATGTCATGTTTAAATGGTTCTTTAAATTCGATAAACTGATTATTTATTTCCACAGTAGGTACCTATAAAATTATATTATTAATTGCCATGTACACTCGTTGCTATGCTTTTAAGTTTCAAGTGAACTGATGATGATTATAAATACCTATTGATTTT